CCCTATTTTCCCATTGTCCCCATGTGCCTCAGCCATAGTCCCCTAGTCTCCCAGTGTCACTGGTGTCTCCATGTCCCTAGGTCTCCCCGTGTCCCCAGGTCTCCCCGTCTTCCTAGTGTCCTAGTGACATTGTGACCCTGGGATACATGGGGACACAGGGAGACATGGGGCATTGAGACACTGATACATAGGATCACTGGGAGACCTGGGGACACAACACTAGGGGACACTGGGAGACATGGGGCACTGAGACACTGATACATAGGAACACTGAGACCTGGAGTAATCGACACTTGGGGCACTGAGTCATGAGGGCACTGGGAGACATGGGGGCACTGGGAGGAATCCATCTATACTGCAGATTTAAACTAAGTAGTTTTTTGGTGATTCTATGGCATTTTCTCTTATGTCACTCCTTGTGATTTACATCATGTGATGTCACCCACACATATTTAATTATGCAAATTAGTAAGGCATGTTTTTCCAAGAAAGGTGGCAACCCTAACTACTTTTCACATTCTCTTACTTAAGTATGGAAACTTAAGAGGGATGTATGGGAACAAAACGTGTGTGGACTGGCTGACAATGAATATAGTTAAAGGGACACTATAGTCACCAGAACAACTACAGCTTATTGAATTTGTTCTGGTGAGTAGAATCATTACCATCAGGCTTTTTGCTGTAAGCACGGTCTTTTCAGAGAAAATGCTGTGCTTACATTACATCCTAGTGATAACTTAACTGGCCACTCCTTAGATGACTGTTAGAGATCCTTCCTGGGTCACGGCTGCCTAAAATGCATCCAAACATTCAGTGTCTCCTCCCTCTGCATGCAGACACTGAACTTTCCTCATAGAGATTCATTAATTAAATTCATCTATGTAAGGAGATGCTGATTGGCCAGGGCTGTGTTTGAATCATGCTGGCTGTGACCCTGATCTGCCTCTTTGTCAGTCTCAGCCAATCCTATGGGGAAGCACTGTGATTGGATCACGCCACCACTTCTAATGATGTCAGCAGACTGCTTGTTTTTATGAGTCTAACGGCATGCAGAGTTACAGCTTCAGGCTTGAATATAGTAGGATTTTGCTATATTTATGGAGGCATGAGGGGTCCAGGGGGGCTAGATGGTGGTGTTTGTGTTCCTGACCCTATAGTTATCCTTTAAGGTAATGCTGACTTTGGTCTCTCTAACACTGTGGCATGTTCCCTTTCTTCTACACTCACTACATACAGCTTTTCTCTGTCCCAGACCATATACCAGGAGCTTCTGCCTGCTAGTAAGAAGGTAAGGAGACAAGTGGCCAGCGAGTGCTAGGGGACAGTCCTTAGTAAGCATTGAGTGAGCGCATCATTAGATGCATTTATGCCAAGCTCAGGGTGCTGTCTGCATAGTATGCCCTTCGGGCATGTTCGCCCCTTTTGGCAGGTTACGTGATTTGTGTCAGTGGCACACCCTTTTACAATGCCCATTGACTTCCTGCTTGACTGGACACTGCTGTTAGGGGTTATGGATTTACTTGAAAGATGAAAACATAAATTAGAGAGAGATTAGCCTAGGGTATGTGTTTTCTTATAGCTGCTGTTTTCTTTCTCTCCAGCACCATCTCCATCAGATACATGATGCTTGGGAGTGTTTTACTGTTTTTGGTCGCTATGATTCTGTAATTAGGCCCGTCATAATTGTCAGCACCAGGCCCACTGGGCTCTTAATCTGGCCCTGGCTAAAGGGCTGCAATTGCTGTGTCTTGGTTCCACGTCAATGTTTTTGATCAGTTTGATAAAACCAGTGAGGTCCCCTAGGCGCCAATAGTCTAGCCCCTCACTTGCCTGGTTGCTAATAAGGAAGTTACACTTTCACATTAGTAATGTCAATTGTGTCCTAATTTGGATAGCACTGAGTGCCTCAAACTTAGAAATCCTATTCCTTCTAAATTTGGACAACACTGACATTGTATAGAGAAGTGGAACTATTACATTATTAAGACAGTAAGCAAGGGGATTGACTGCAGGTGCCAATGCTTAGAGTGCCTTTTTAATCTGGAAGTTAGAGAAAATTGTTTTCTAAAGTTGACAATTAGCAGTTATACACTGCTGAAAGTAATATGTTTTTAGAACTTTATGGAAAAAAAAGTTTTGGGGAATTCTGGGAAAAGGATTTTTGTCATAACACCAGCAATTCCCATATTTGTTGTCAGGTCATCAGAACAAAAAAAACAAAACAAAAAACATCGGCCTGTTTATCTAACAAAAAACCCACTAATAACTGTTTATCCCCCCTTCCTCCTATATACATGCCCCACTTACCTTCATCTTTGTTTCAATGCTGGCTTCCACTCTGTAGAAAACCAAATTTCTATGTTAAATTTATTTTCTGTCTATCTTCATCTGTGTAGGGAGGGAGGATTGCTCTGAGCTACCTGGGTACACTTCAACCATTCATTGCGGGCAGTATGAGCACGCAATGTTCATTATAATACAGATCATGGGTGCTAATATCATGTCCAATGGGCCACTTGTGGCCTGCTGGATCTTTTTAATGTGGCACGAAGATGCTGAACACTCCCTATCTACTGCACCTCTATGAGGAGATAATGACTGCGCGCGCATTAGACCTCCCCATAGGAAAGCATTATTCAATGCTTTCCTATGGGGATTCCAGCGATGCTGGAGCTCCTCATGCATAGCGTGAGGATGTCCAGCATCGTTTAGACGACCAAAAGTTGTCTAAGAAGCCGGAAGTCCCTCTAGTGGCTATCTGGTAGACAGTCACTAGAGGAGGACTTAACCCTGCAAGGTAATTATTGCAGTTTATTAAAAACTGCAAATATTACACTTGCAGGGTTAAGGGTGTTGGGAGTTGGCATCCAGACCACTTTAATGAGCTTAAGTGGTCTCGGTGCCTACAGTGTTCCTTTAATCAACCATTCTTTTTCATGAGATGCTTTTGTTTTCTTTTAAGATGTTGCAAATGACATCATCCAGTTCAGTCCAGGCAAACTAAAGGCATACAATGCAAATGAGGAGGAGAAATCCAAACATTGTTGCAGATGCCCTCTTCTTTTTACACTAATTCTGTGCTGGTCATAGCTTATAACAATGAATAAAGTTGGAGGTGCCCAGTGGTAGGATAAAGAAGTGTGGATTTCTACAATAACTTTTATATTTCCCACCCCCAACACAGCAAAGAAAGCTTCAAAGAACAAAACCTCATGGTTGCATTCTAGCAGTTGTGGAGGGGACAGAGGGGCACACACAACAATAAAAAGTATAATGCAGTTTACTATGCACATTGCAAATCCCTGTATTTTACAAACAGATACTATAACTGAGCTTGTTCTCAGGGATATTGCGTGATATCCAAAACATTTAATTCCACAAATATGTAAAGGATAAACTAAGGCACGAAAAATAAATAAATAGGTCATATAATCTATACACGAGCCCTGGCTTTTTCTGGAATGAACTGGATTGTGGTGCAATTTCCAAAATATTTAATATGAATGTAAAAGAAAAATTAGCAATCTAATATTTGTAAAGCAAAAAGTGCATACTGAATAGGTTAAGTCACAGGTAAGACCACCCCTATATATATAATTTATATATAGTTATTTATATCAATGATTTGACCATAACGGATTCAGTGAATAGAGCCTAAATGTTATCACAAAGTTACCCAGATTTGTGCTGCAAAAGCAAAATGGATTATATCAGTTATTTTATTATTATATAGTGACCATCTACATATGAGAAAAAAAATTAGCAGAATCTAGTTTCGTACAATCATTTTTTAATGCAAAGAAATTACATTCCTTTATTTGATCTCTTAGTTGATAGCAACTGAAAGTGATAGTAAAATGTTAATTTTATAAAAACAAGGAAAGAGCCTGTGCATTATCTATCCTAGCTAGACATCACCATTTTCAAGATGTGCCTGTGCAAGAAGACCCCAGGTGATTGTTCTCCAAAACAGACATGTCTCAGATCAAATGGACACATGAATGCAGTGGTGAAATATTTATTAAATAAGGACACTGCTACTTGATATCAGCAAAACGCTAAAAATATAAATTAGCTATAAAAAAAAAAAAAGGAAAGAAAGAAAAGAAAAGAGGATGGACTGGGGAAAAAAAGGTTCTTACTTTCTATGATAACACTTGTATGTTATTATTTCAAAGAGTCTATTACCAGCTATCCCAGAGATTATTACACCTTTTAAATGTGAGGGTTTTTTTCCTGAACCACTTTGAGGGAAACAGAAAGCAAAAGGCAATCTGTAGATTTGAGGGCTTAACAAGCAGGTTCAGTTACCGAGTGAAGTAAATAATAATAAAAAAGACTATCTCTTCCTGCTGCTCCCTCCCCTGTGCACACATACACACAGAATCAAGGGGAGGTCAAAAGTTGACTGTGCGTACTGTCCTCCTCTCCCTCCCAGCAGGCTCCACTCCTCTGCTGGAGCTTCAACTCTGCTCCAGGTTTTACACCTGGTCCCCGGGGCCGCCTCACGGCCTCTTGCTGCTGCTGTTTACTGAGCTCTTGTCCTGATATCACTCCGCTGGCATGGAGGAGGAGGAGGAGGAGGAAGCAATGAGAGGAGGAGAGCACTTGATCATTGTGATGGTGGCAGGAGGAGCAAATGAGCAGAAGCAGCAGCATTAGCAAAGCCCTAGTCTATCAGCTCCCCTCACCAGCTTCCACTGCTGTACTTTTTGCAGTTGCTCTGGCTATAGAGCTGTGTGTGCTTGTCCCCCTATCAACCTATCCCCCCTCCTCCTCCCTCTTTCACCCCCAGGATTTATTATGTAGAAAGAGATACATTTCGTACCATTGGTTCTTCTGCACAACCTTGTCTTTAGTCTTTTTTTTTTTCTTTTCTTTCTTAACCCCTTTCCCCCTCCTCGCCCCCCCTTGCTTAATATGCAAGAGATCTACAAAAAAAGTACTTTGGACGCTTTGCTGCACACACCACTAAACTTTTTTCCTTTGCTTTTCTGGAAGGGGAATCCAATAGGAGAGCAGGCTGTTTGATAGTGTCTGAGAGGAGGAGTGAGTGCATGTGCCTGTGTGTTGACTTGTGTATACCTATGTCTAGTGCACGACTGTGATCAGGAGTGTGGAAGTAACAGTGTATATGTGTGGCTGGACCTGTCTGCTCCTATCTGGGAATGTATCACACATTGGATTATAGACAGAAGAAGACAACTGAACTCCTGAAATCCATCCTGAGCTGCTGATTTATTCATTACTAGATTATTCATTATTATTATTATTATAATTTTTTTTTTTGCTCATCACCTCCTTGTCCCAGGGGGGACTGACTTGGGCTAAGAGATTATGCTTTGATTGTGGGATACAACTCTGGGCAAGAGGCATTGGGTGCCCACCCATGCAGGGGCAGAACCCCAAACTCGCCCCTGATCCAATTTAACAAAGCACCTGGAGAAACTCTTTTTTTTTTTTTTTTAAAGCCAAAGTACTGGGGGGATTTAAAAGCCAAGGTGGGGGGACAGTTTGTGGAGACTGCAAACTTATTTTCCAAAATAGTTTGCACGGGGACAGGGATGGGGGATTACACAACCCCCTCTGCCTCCTCCAACGGCGGCAGCCTGTGCATCAGCACTGCCCTGGGCAGCAGCATTGGTGGGACTGGTACCGGTACTACTAATACCCCTCCCAGCGCTGCTGCCCCCAATGCACCGAACAATAGCAGCAGCACCAGCATTCCTAAACACAGCACTGTGGTGGAACGGCTCCGGCAGAGAATAGAGGGCTGCAGGAAGCACCATGTCAGCTGTGAGACCAGGTACCAGCAAGCCCAGGCTGAACAGCTGGACATGGAGAGAAGGGAGACGGTGAATCTCTACCAGAGGACTCTGGAGCAGAGAGCTAAGAAGTCAGGCACTAACCAAGGGGGCGCGTCTGCAGGATCTACTGCAGGTTCAGCTGCTGGTGGCAACAACAAGCATCATCATCATCATCCCCAGCAGCAGCACCACAACCACCACCACCACCACCACCAGGGCAAGCAGCAGGATGTAGATCCACCAACCAGCGGCACAGCTGAGCAGAGGAACCACACTCTGATCATGGTAAGAGGGGGAGCTAGTGGGCACTGCTGCTGCTGGAGTCTCATTGCTTGGCATGAAGGGGGGAGTAGGTGGAGGGAGGGGGTTATCCCGTGTTTTCGGAGCGGGGTTAGGGGTGGAGCTATGTGGAATGGGTAATGCCTCTCAAAGTTTGAAACTGATGATTTTTATTGTGTAAATGAAAGTTTTTGGTTATATATATATTTAATAAGATATCCTGCATATTCTTCCAGTTCATATTGTTTTGCCATTACTCCTTGGTTAGATGAGGTAAATGAGACGATTTGTCCGATCTGGCTGCTGACTCCTCTGGTGTAAAGTCCAGGCTTGATCTACTAATACAGTGACATTATATGGTGCCAGGTGTGTGGAACACGGTGATTTACTGTGTACAATGGCTGCAAACATTGTATTCCATCCCGAGGGTTCCACATGCCAATATAGGAAGGCTTGCTTTTGGATGCTTCTTTGTTGCCTTGAAGTGTGTCTTTCAGTTGATGAAGGGTTGGCTCATGCTGTTGGTCTTCGTCCTTGCTGCTTTGTGATATGTATTTATTGGCAGGGGCAAGCATGAACTGTGATCCCTTTATTAGATGTCACGATTCCCTGCAGACAGCAGTTCGCATACAAAAAAATAATAATAATAAAAATCCTGTTAGCTGTGGGATGTCTTCTGTCTCACATTAACCCTGCGTTGACTTGTTGATTTGATTAAATTGTTAAAAGTTCTAATTGACTTGTAATCATTAGATCTATCATTTGTTTCACGTTTGATGTCCAGTTACTGAGAGTGGGTGTTTCTAATTATTGAAGTTTACATGCAGATATAGCCTGGTAGTATTACTTGCTGTACTGTATGTTTCAGATGAACCCCAAATCTCAGTCTCGCAGTGGAAGGTGTTTGTATTTATTAAAACTAAACTGAAATTCTTAATTCCACCCGTGTTCAGAATACACTTTAAATTAAGGGAGAAGTTGTCAGCAAGTTTGAACGAAGAAAAGCTTTAAGAATTTAAGTAGTCAGAAGTACTGAATTATTGATTAGATCTTGTAATAAAGCATGTTTTGTGTTCATGTGTTTCTTTATTCTTGCTTTTGCACCGGTGTAGAAACAAGCTAACACTACACATATTAGTGCTTCTATGTGTTTACATAATTCTCTACATTTAGGTGAAATCGGATAATAATAATAATAAACATCAAGGAGCAGGGTTGTGCTGATCAATAGCTAATATGCCTATATATATTTTTATAAACCGATATATTGATTGGTATAATTGCCAACCTAGCTTTGCATTAAGTCATTTCCCCCAGTGGAAGAGAATAATAAACATCCTTCATTCAATTAGAATATCATTGTGATACATTGCTTTGAGACATGGGCTGGTAATGGACAGTATATTCTTGGCATATTTATTGCATATTTCCCTGCTTGTTCTATTTGCATTGAATTGTGCATGGGGTGAAATACACTGAGAGGAGGGAAGCAGCATGCTTGATCTAAATGTAGACAACTGGATTTTTGTGGTTAAATAAAGTCATGCGCTAGGGAGGAGCACGGTGCTAAGGGGGGTGGGGTGCAATTGTAAAGTGTGCATCCTTTGCTTCAGTAATCAGGACACTGTCAGAGCTGAGGCAGGTCTGTTTGCTGCTCACTTTAGAGTGGCAAAGTGTGTGTGCTTGTGGGGGAGGGTTGTTTGCACAGTAGTGGCTATTTCCCCTCTCTCCCTCCTCCTTCCTTCTGACTGATGCTGTTAGACTGGTTAGATATCTTACAGGAAGCAACCCCCTCCTTCACTGAGCTTCTCCTGCATTAGGGCAGAATCAGCCTTGTTCTTACCTCACATAATGCTGTAAAAAAAGACAAGATCATCTCTCCTGAATACTCCCAGAGAGAGGAGGGCAGAGTTTAATTCCAATAAATACTTAGACTTTATTTGCTGTTGGGAAGAGAGCAACCCCATGGGTTTAAGATACAGGAGATAAACACATTTTAAACCTAGATAGTGAAATCCAATGTGTAGTTATTGTATACATGTTCTTTATTTTGCTCTAAAACCGCATACATTTCCCTAAAGGTGTTGGGTTGGTTAAACTAAGCATGTTTTAATGCAAACTGATTAAGTGTGAATGTTGGTATTAGTTTTATGTTCTATTCTGTATAAATTAATACACCCATCTACCTGACACTCATGTAATTAGTGATACAAATTAGATCATATCCATTGCAACAATATCATCTTTTTGGAATTTTATCTGCCTTGCCCACATGAACTCCCTGCCAATGGCATTTATATACTGTGTATAGCACATGCCAGTTCGTAGATCACTTGCTATATTATATTATTTATGTTACCTCTGGAAAGATTACAAAAATCTTAGCATTTTTTTTTTTTTTTTAGAATGTTTGTTTGTTTTCAGAGTAAACAGACAGAATTAACAATTTTCCTTATAAATGTAATAAATACAATAGAATCAATTTCTGAATTATTGCATTGCGTCTGTTTACTTTAACTTCTGTCATTATTTTGTTCATTTTATATCATCGTACAGCACTGCAGAATATATTTTCATTATATAAACTAACAATAATGTGTACCAGTGGTTGTAAATTTAGTTTTGCTAGCAGTTCATGGGATGTATTTTTTTTTTTTTATATTTAACTTTTTATTTATGCGGTACATTTATTAGTATTCAGTAAAAAAAAAAAAAAAAAACTTGTATTGCAAAAGTTTTTAGATCTGAATTTATTATGCATTAACCTCTTGCATTCCAAACAGCAAAACACAGCCCTTCTGACACTTAAATGGTTGCCAGATGAGTCTGGTGCCTCTTGCTAATGGTTTATAGGCTATTTGTGCTCTGCTGACTTACACTTGTAATTTATCAAAAGGAGCTATGAGCAGTACTAGCAGATAGACGACCTACTTATCAGTACTGTACAGTGTTATCTCGCCTTTTGCAGTTTTTGCAGCTTTGGTAATGAATAGGTTAAGCCCTCTGCCACATGGTCATGCTGTCTATTTATTGATATGTGCCGATTCAGTCTTGATTCCTTTATTATTCTGCAATTGCTCTGGCTTCCAGTCCTTTTGTTTCTCTAGAAGGAAAAAAAAAAAAAAAAAAACAGGGAATGTGTCCAGCTAAGCTGCTGTCTGTTTCAGTTGTTGGATCAAGAACAAGGGGAGGAGTCCTGTTTTTTCCACCCAGAGACATGTTTTTTTTTTTCTCTTCTTCTTTTAAACAGGAAACTGAAAAACCTCACTGTAGCTTTCCTGAAACAGAAGATCACAAGTCATAGCTTTACCAAGCAAAGTAACAAAATCAGTAATAGTTCATGGCTTAGCCTTTGGAATTATACACTTTGAAGTGACATTTGTGTTGCCACATGTTTAAGTGTGTTCCTCATATTTAATCTTAAATGTAAAATGCGATATTTTTGTAAATAATGTGCATACATGTTAAAACTACCAGATTTAGTTTTAGTATAGAGCTGCCCCAGTGTTATTTCCTAATTATTTTTATAAGAATTTTTTTTTTTATAGTGCCAACGTATTCCACAGAGATTTACATTATACCATGGGGATAATTTACAGCCAGTAATTGACTTACAAAGTAACATTGTCAAATACAAAAGGTGAAGAGAGCCCTAAACAAGCTTACAATTGAATCTATATAGTGTGCTACTAACTTAAAGGATCACTATAGGGTCAGGAACACAAACATGTATTCCTGACCCTATAGTGCTAAACCCACCATATAGGTGGCTAGCCCCCCCCCCCATAAAAGTTTAAAACTCGTCTTATTTCCAGCGCCGCGCCCCATAGGGAAAGCATTGGATTGGCTAAAATCAGCACGGGGACAATACATGCCGTTTTGGCCAATCAGCACCTCCTCAATGCATCTCTATGAAGAAAATTCATCGTGCAGAGCATGGGGACGCTGAACGGCAGGGCTGCTTACTGTGTAGTGCTGAGCCAGGAAGCCCCTCCAGTGGCCGTCTGAGGAGTTTCTCTGAAAAGGCAGTGTTTACATGAAAATGCCTGAAGGGAGCTATTATTCTCACCAGAACAACTACATTAAGTTTTAGTTGTTCTGGTGACTATAGTGTCCCTTTAATGGCTAGCAAATTCGTAGTTTAGCAGATACATTTTTCATGGCCT